CACGAACTAATACATGATGCAGGAATTTTGCAAATTGTGGCGAGGCATAATCGCCCACGCCAGGAGCGAAGCACCTGATGATGATGATAATACACTATTCGTATTCGTGTTCGGCCGAATAGTGAAAATCCCTATTCGGTACAGCACTAGCAGACAGTGAAAGACTTGCAGTTTGTATGAGACCAGCCTAGCACAGCAAGCAAGCTAGAGAGAGGAGACGTCCTAGAGAAACCAGCCTCGTAACGATAGAGTATCAGCTCTGTTGTGGAGACTATGTGGTAGAGACAGCCACTCCGGCATTGGACTTTACTGTCATAGCAGATGTTGTCATTAAACTAGCGTCATAACTCCATGGTCCCCTTGTACTGACGGCTGCCTTCAATGAAGAGGTAAGATACCACTCTTGTGTATGTGAGGTAGTTTAATCCACTGCGTTTCCTAGCAACCAGGAAGTGTCTCTCAAATCGTCGAGGGCTGGTCCTCTGAATGGTTGTGTGAGTGGAAGAAAAGGCGGCATCAGGTGGTCGCTGACAGGACAGTGGACATGATTCCAATTGTAGAAGCAGATGAATCTGAAGATTCGCATGTAGAACCAGGAAAGATTCAAGTCATTCCGAAAAATGTTAAAGTACTTTGTAGACAAATTCGTTCTGATGCAAATGTTTTACTTTTAGTTTAGTTAGTTTAGCAAGGCTTTGCCATGTCTTGTGTTGTCATATTTATCGATTGGACTTTCTCAGCGCTATAGCCTCCCAGAAAATTAAGGTGTCGGTACTCACTTCAGAGTGTCTAATAAAAAGTGCTTGTCTCACTACATAGTGACTAATAGTAGTGTAGAGCTGAAAACAAAATGACGCCTTAAAAAAGAAAGATACCAGTACTGCGTACTGTCAGCAACAACAACAACAACAACAACAACAAAAGCACTGGATGTGGACCGTTATTTTATTGGTCTGACCAGACTACACTATATTTCTTTATTACACCTCAGAAGAGAGGAACGGGATAAAACGAATTAAACTGTAAATATTAGTTTTATCAGCTGTAAAAGTGGTGGTAGTAGTAGTAATAGCAATAGCAGTAGTTGTAGTGGTGGTGGTGGTGGCAAAAGTGGTAGCAGTGGTGGTAGTAGTGCTCGCAAAAATACTATTAGCAGCAGCAGGAGCAGTATTAATGGTAGTTGTAATAGTCACATCAGTAGTATTAATAGTTTAGTTGTATTAATGGTGGTAGTAGTAGTAGCGTTAACCGTAGTTGTAGTAATGGTGGTGGTAATAATTGTAGTAGGGTGTAGTGGTCATATTAATAATTTGAAATCTGTTTCAACCCTCAGTTTAAAAATATAGTGTTCATTATATTCCAGTGCATATTTTTGATGTGTTTGCGGATGAAATCATTAGACTCTCCGTGAAGGTTCGGGGGCCCAAGATGGGATGCACTGCCTCCTCAACAAGCATTTCAAAAGAGTCGAATAGCTGGGGGTTTCCTTCGAAGTCAGAGTGTGTTTGCCTGGGAGGTCAGGAACCAACTGTCTGCATACAAATGTTAGATCTGAAAAAATGCATGTGCACGCAACACTCAGGTTCTCAAATCTAAAGTCCAGAGTGGATGAACATTCAGAACTTTCCGCTGGAGTTTACAGCCGGTGAATGTGAAAAACAAAAGGAGGAAATCATCTGATTTTGCTATTTCTGAAATTTGTTTTTGAAGTCATTAAAAACATTCTCAGTCATAGCTTTTGTAATATGATTAGGTGGGACAGCGTGTTTAAACCAGGGATTTCTTTCTGGTGGTAGGCAGTAGTACGCAGTACCCGCACCTCTTTTTTTTTCTTTTTTTTTTTTAGTACTTTTGTTTACATAATGAGATGAATCGCCTGGCATCTTTTCTTCCTAGGAAAAAAAAAGCCCCTGGTACTGATTGTTTCACTAACCAAAGTTTACGAACAGATCTCTATAGAATAAACAAATTCACTTAGTATGACAGAATTATTTTTGTGCCGTTCCAATGAGGGACACAATTTGTTGTTATTTTAAATCCCCACCCAGGCTGTTCGTTGGAGGCTCTCAAATAACCTGTTTAACAGGGTTCTTGGAACTTGTGCCCAGGTGACCCTCATCCGAATGGTGGCACTTTGTCTCAGTGGGTGTTGGTTGCTTGTTGCATGGTCCTGATGGGGTTGAATGACAGACAGCATGACAGAATCACTAATCATGAAGATGGCTGGACAAATCAAAGTGTGTCAGCTAGTGTTGGTATCTTGTTGCACGGTGCGTATGATATGTTTGTATGCGGATATGTATGACATGCAGGCGTGTGTAGGCGTATTTGTGTATGTATGATTATGTGTATGCATGGGTAACTGTATAAGTTTGTGTGTACGTATCTGTGTGTAGGCGTGTGTCAGTGAATGTGTCTGTGTGTATGGTGTCTGGGTGCTTGTCTGTAGGTGTGCCCGTGAGCGTGTCTGTTTTTGTGTCTCTGTGTTGGCTCGTTCGTCCATATGGGTTTTTTTATGTGCATATGTATGTGTGTCTGTAAGCGTGTCTGTGTGTCTGTCTTAGTGTCAGTGTGCGTGTCAGTCTGTGTTGTGTGTCTGTGTGTGTGTTTTTCTATAAATGTCTATCTGTATGTGTGGCTGCGTGTGTGTCTGTGTGTATGATTGTATGTGGATATGTGTGGGTGTGGCTTGGCTGCATGTTTTTCTGTGTGTATGTGTCTGTCTGTTTGTGTATATCTATGCTGTGTCTGTAGGTGTTTCTGCGTGTGTGTCTATGCCTGCAAGTGTCTGTGGCTGTGTGTTTCTCTGTGTGTTGTTTCGTGTGTATTTGTATGTTCATCTTTTTGATAATGTGTGTGTGCGTCTGCATGTGTGTGTCTGTGCGAGTATTTGTGCGTCTGTGGGTTTGTTAGTATGTGTTTGTGTATGTCTCTGTGTGTCAGTGTGTGTGTGTGTGCCATTATGTGTCTGTAGGTGTGTATGGCTGCATGTGCATCTGTGTCTGTCTGTGGCTGTGCATGACTTTGTGTGTATCTGTGTGAGTCTCTATCGGTGTGTCTATTATATAATGTCTGCGTGTCTCTGCTTGTGTTGGGTTATGCGTCTGCATGTATGTCTGTGTGCGTATGTGTGACTGTGTGTGTATATCTGTGTATGTGTGGTTGTTGCGTATGTCTATGTGTGTGTCTGTTTCCCTGCTTTTGTGTGTGTATGTGTTTGTGTGTGCCCGTGACTGCATGTGTGTGTGTCTGTATGTGTCTGGTTTGTATGCGTGTGTGTTTCAGAGCGTGTGAATGTGTGTGTATGTATGTATGTATTTTTGTATGTATGTATGTGAGTTTGTATGTATGTATGTGATTTTGTATGTATTTTTGTATGTACGTAGGTATGTATGTATGTGTGTATGTATGAGGGTGCATGTTCGTGTGTATGTGGATGTATGTGTGTACTGGGTGCCTATGTGTTTGTGTGTAAGTGAGTGATTGGGCTTGTGTGTGTATGTGGGTGTGTGTGTTCGCGCGTGAGCGTGCGCACATATTTTACCACCGATGCTTTTGTTTTTGATTTCATTTCCATAATATGCGTATCATTACATGAATATAACATGCTTTATTGATGAAATACAACTGCTGTGTGAAAGGTAGAAGTTTGGAAGGGCCGAATGTAAGACAGGCCTGCTTGCCTAATTTGTAACCCTTTGAAAATAAAGTTCGTTTGTTCGTTCGTCCTGATGGGGTTGAATGACAGACAGCATGACAGAATCACTAATCATGAAGATGGCTGGACAAATCAAAGTGAATCAGCTGGTCGCTTGCTGCACGGTCCTGATGGAGTTGAATGACAGACAGCATGACAGAATCACTAATCATGAAGATGGGTGGACAAATCAAAGTGTGTCAGCTAGTGTTGGTATCTTGTTGCACGGTCCTGATGGGGTTGAATGACAGACAGTATGACAGAATCACTAATCATGAAGATGGGTGGAAAATGTGTCGGAAAGTGGGCAAAAAGCTGATATACTGGACAAGGTTCACGGGAAGAGAATTTCTTCATGTCATCACTTTCTCTAATAGCATAACAGCTCTTCTTCTGGACACCACAAGGTAAAGGCATTTAGGGGATCATATGTAAACATGCACAGAATTTCCTATACATAAGACTGAATTCAGTTCCGACTAACAGTCTACAAGAAAAGCTGGTCGTTAAGCTGAATTTATATTTTTTCCAACTATATTTTCTTTTAAACTTGTTATAAAAATTGTATATAAAACACAACAGCTCAGTCTATGTTCATATGTTTAGACTGCTGCACTCATCTTAGTTCCTGGAGAACCTTTTCACCTTACCAATGATGTTATCTTTCTTTATTTACTATTTTCATTTATATTTTGTGGTGGTAACTGTCGAGGGTCATAAGTAAAATAGGTTATAAGTAAAATAAGTCATTAAGTAAAATGGGTCGTAAGTCAAGAATTAACTATAAATAGACCTGGATAATTGGTAAAAGGGGGAAGGGGAACTGTAAGACATAACAAACAGTAGGAGGGTTTGACATGAGATAGTTTAGAAATTATGTTCCAGTGGTTGGTTAAATGAAGAAGAACAAGGAGCAGAGAAAGAAGAAGAAGAAGAATAGTAGTAATAGACTTTTATCCCACCAGGACATCACACAAGCGATAAACATCCAATGACACAAGGTGCCACCATGTGGATGGGGATCACCTGTGGAAGGGTCCCAGAAACCGCGTTTAGCCATTAGACCATATTTGTGGTTAGGCTATATTGCAGCCCCTGGCAAGAGCCAGGTTGGGGCTTCAAAATAGAGAAAAACTGCATCTCACAAGGGGATGACAGGATATTAGGAAGAAGAAAAAAAAGAAGAAGACAATGATGAAGATGAGGGGGACAAAGAAAAGGAGAAAGAAGAAGATTATGTGTATTGTAACATATTTGTTATGCTGTGTGTACTTACAAAAATATTATCCTTTCTGTCCCTCAGCCAAAGAGAAAACAGGCAAGTATTGCACTATGGTGAGTTATGCCTCTTACAACTATGTTTTCTGACTAAGAGTTATGCCTCTTACAACTATGTTTTCTGACTAGGAGTTATGCCTCTTACAACTATGTTTTCTGACTAAGAGTTATGCCTCTTACAACTATGTTTTCTGACTAAGAGTTATGCCTCTTACAACTATGGTTTCTGACTAAGAGTTATGCTTCCTACAACTATGTTTTCTGACTAAGAGTTATGCCTCTTACAACTATGTTTTCTGACTAAGAGTTATGCCTCTTACAACTATGTTTTCTGACTAGGAGTTATGCCTCTTACAACTATGGTTTCTGACTAAGAGTTATGCCTCTTACAACTATGTTTTCTGACTAAGAGTTATGCCTCTTACAACTATGTTTTCTGACTAGGAGTTATGCCTCTTACAACTATGGTTTCTGACTAAGAGTTATGCCTCTTACAACTATGGTTTCAAACTAAGAGTTATGCCTCTTACAACTATGGTTTCTGACTAAGAGTTATGCCTCTTACAACTATGGTTTCTGACTAAGAGTTATGCATCTTACAACTATGGTTTCTAAGAGTTCTGCCTCTTACAACTATGGTTTCTGACTAAGAGTTATGCCTCTTACAACTATGGTTTCTGACTAAGAGTTATGCCTCTTACAACTATGGTTTCAAACTAAGAGTTATGCCTCTAACAACTATGGTTTCTGACTAAGAGTTATGCCTCTTACAACTATGGTTTCTGACTAAGAGTTATGCATCTTACAACTATGGTTTCTAAGAGTTATGCCTCTTACAACTATGGTTTCTGACTAAGAGTTATGCCTCTTACAACTATGGTTTCTGACTAAGAGTTATGCATCTTACAACTATGGTTTCTAAGAGTTATGCCTCTTACAACTATGGTTTCTAAGAGTTATGCCTCTTACAACTATGGTTTCTAAGAGTTATGCCTCTTACAACTATGGTTTCTAAGAGTTATGCCTCTTACAACTATGGTTTCTAAGAGTTATGCCTCTTACAACTATGGTTTCTAAGAGTTATGCCTCTTACAACTATGGTTTCTAAGAGTTATGCCTCTTACAACTATGGTTTCTAACTAAGGTGTTTGTGTTTGATTAGATATGTACACTGTTAAACCTTGATGAGGTTGTTTGGTTGTGATTCTTCCAGAAAAATATTTTTTTCACTTCATATCTTTGTACTGACCTTCATATTTATCTTTTAGTTTAGGCTCATTTAATGTAGGTTGACTCTCTGGCTAATTTATGAAACTAAGAAAACACAAGCAGTGATGTACAGACCAGAAGGGAAGCAAAAGCCGACCATATAATTTATGGATAGAGATAACATCCGTCCCTGGAAATCCATATTTATGAAGCACACAAACAGAAAGTTTCCCATGAACTATATACTTGACCTGAACACCGCAAGGTACCAGAGGATCAAGATGAGATAAGAGCGTCTGATGAAGAATACACTAAACAAAAATATATCACAGACCCCATTTTTGTCCTCCAAGTATTCACAGCTGAGTGAACGCATTCACTATCCTCCAATCTACAAAGTGGTACCATATATCGAATGTTTGTGCATTCTGCACTGTACAGTCCTATGTTTAGTCACAAAAAAAAACTTTTTTTTGCTTTGTGTGTATGTGTGTGTGTATGTGTGTGCATGTGTGTGTGTATGTGTGTATGTGTGTATGTGTTTGTGTGTGTGTATGTGTGTATGTGTGTGTGTGTGTATGTGTGAGTGTGTGTGTGTGTATGTCCTATTATGATATCTGGGATACACTTCAACAAAACAAAATTTCTTCCTTTCATCAGGACTGATCTTAGCATTTCTGCCATTGATCGCCTGAATGAATCGTCAAGTTCTGATCACGTGAAACAGTAAGTTAACACACTCCCATTGATAACTGCTTTTAGCGTAAAAGTAAAGGACTCTTTTCACACTTTCAGGCACATAGGGCTAGACCTATATTTTATTGACCAATCATCACTCCATGGGGGAGGTGGTCAATGTCACGTTGGCTGTCTTTACTTCCCAGGACTTTTTCTGATACTCATTTAAGGCTTGGTCAATCCCTGGAAGCCAAAATCATTTTTGAAAAATGTCTGACTATGTCAGGACCCGAACCTATGACCCTTGAATCCGCAGGCAAGCATCCAGCCATTACACCACAATAGCTTTTTCTTCATTTAGTGATGCTGTTGTTTTTATTGTTCTGATTGATATTACTGTTGTGGCATTTATTGCTGATGTTGTAATTGTTGTTTATACCTTCATTTTGACCTTAATATATATATACAGGGGGAAGGACGAACAAGATGCACATTTGAATGCAAGGCACACAGGCAGACTGACGTGCAAATTTCAAATAAAATAGATCATGGAAAATGAGAACTGAATGATTGAAAAACACATAGGAGCGAGAGGTATTTAGGCCGAGAATGACTGAGAATGATTAATCTTCTTTTGAGTCATAAGTTTGGTTCCAGGAATAGTTTGTTCTGTGAATGAATGAATCAAGTTTAGAGTGAATGTCTCAACCAGATTTGGCTGTGTTCTTAGAAAAATCCTGGCTATTGTTCAGTCTGACAATTCTGGTCGAAGCTAGACCTGTTTGTGTTTGTTCAGTGTGGAAGATTGTCAAGATATCACAGTGAGACTATTCATGTTTATTTTTTGTGTAATTTACTGATATGTACATGTTACGATCAGTTGTCGAGTTGGGATCACTAGACCATGACCTCAGTGTGCACTGGCTCGGAGGCAGTGGTGTGAACAAACAAACAGTCACAGCAGCAACAGCTGTGCATGCGTCTCGTTCACTGACACAACTTGTTGAAGCGTGAGTCGGTGTTCATTTGTGAAGTCTGCAAATGACTGGAGCCAAGAGACTCAGAGAAAAAGTTATTTGAGGTACCCTCTGCTGTTAGCAGGAGTATCACAGAGCAGGACACTCACTTACCCTGGCAATCTAAAAGGTTGCTGAAGCCTGAAGACATGTGGATGTAAAAAGCAAGGGGAAAAAAAACTACCACATTATCATCCAAAGAAACTTATTATGGAAGCCAACAATTTTAATAGATTTGAACATTAAGGAAGATTATCTAATCAACAGTATATTAAGCATCAAGGTGAATTAGGGAAAAACAGATAAAAGCAGAAGCAGAAGGCATAGTACCAGGAAAGAGGGGTAAGGGCCGATTAACATGCAAATTGGCACAGTATATAATTTCTTGAATATGAAAGTACACGAGGCGGGAGTGCTTGCGAGAGACCCAGTTTCTTCCAGGCAGACCTTGATGAGAGCAACGTTCTGCAAAGAACCTGCTACATGATGATGGTGTTGATATATGCATGCATGTATGTATGTATGTATGTACGTATAAACATATACGTATATATATATATATCTGACTCCCCAGAGTTTTGGCAGACATCTTTATGCTGGATGACCACAGAACAGATTCCAGATCAGCTATTGTCATGGATTTATTCTTCTACACACTACAGTTTGCCAAACGAGAACAATTCTCCCGAGACAAAACATCGGCTTTCTTCTCTATCATCAAACGGATATTTGAAATGTGTATAGGTAAAACTGTACTACTTGCTGCATGATCTCATTGTCTTTGTTGTTTTCAATTCTTTATTAATGGGAATTTTCCAGCAATTCTTTGGGACTGTTTGTTGTTAAGTGTTGAGCTGGCACTAAATCACAGCACTCAGCAAATTCTCATAAGTGATCTGCTTTCATCTTCAGCAGCCAGCGAAGTGTTCTAATTTGGATGGTAATAGTAATTGTTAAAATGCTTAGGAACTAGCATTGTTCAGTATGTTTATCAAAAGATGCCATAAGGATCAAAATCTGATTCTGAACTTAAAAAACAAAAAAATCTATTTAATTATGATATGCAGACAAAACTACACTTTAATATGTAAGTACACACAGCAGTGAAGAAATTGAAAGTGTCACAGTCTTTCAATTTTTTAGTTCCATTACTCTAATAGTGTTTGAATATTATCCCCCCTACAGGTTGCATGTCCCCTCAAAAGATAATTCTGTGTTACGCACCTTCTATATTTCCTATGGATTTGTTACAGTTATTAGGACAAGTTGTAGTTGTAGTCAAGGTCTCAACACTGAACGAATAAAGGAGCGAACAAAAAAATTTATTTCCAAAGGCTAAGGAATTGGACAGTCAGTCCCATCTAACATTCTGCCTTTCTAGTTGCCCGCCTTTCATACATCATTTTATTCGTTCATCATTTCATGCATACATCATTTTATTCATACATCATTTCATTCATACATCATTTTATTCATACATCATTTCATTCGTTCATACATCATTTTATTCATACATCATTTCATTCATGCATCATTTCATTCCGTAAATCAAGTAATAGTAAGCAATATCAATTCAGTAGTTTTAAATTATTTAATAAGAACACTTGAATGTGCATATTCCTAACTACAGTAAACAGTAGTAATTGTAATAAATCTGGAGAAATTCTGGTCAGTTTCTAAAATATTTTTCATTCTTCTGTATGGGCATATAATCTACGCTGAGATAATATTAGAACAGTTTCCAATTCTGTGTTTAAGGACTAGTGGTATTTTTGATTAGTTGTGGAAGATAATTCCACAACTGAGCTGCGGAGTCCGCCAAATTTGTTTTGTATGAGTCTATCCTAGGTTTAAGGATGTGTAATATGTTTGGGCATTTAGGTTGTGCAATCATTCCTGTGCTAGTGAAAATCAAATGAAATGTCCTAACTGTTGCATTTAGAAAACTGGTGAACAAACAGTTAGTCCCAGCACATTCCAGAAATATGCGCACACACTAAATGCATAAAGCAGTTGCTTGAGGTGCCAAAGCCAACAGTTATCACCAGAAATGTAGTTTGTGGTTGATGGTAGTAGTCTGACACGATAGGCTGGACACAAAATTATTACATAAGGTGCTTCATCAGCTGACACACAAACAAGCTACCCAAACTGAATACCTTGACACAACCAGTGAACATATGAAAGGCATTCCAGACTTGAAAAAAAAAAAAACTTACATTGCTGCACCAATCACCTAATTCAGTAACCTCAGCAGGGAAACAATAGACTTGTGTCTGTATGTGGAAACTGCATTAGCAAAGCACTGTCAGGAACAAAACTAACTTTGAAGCTACATTCTGCCAAGCCTATTCTCCATATTGAACCAGTAGTCCTGGTAAGAAAAATTATCAAAAACTCTTATCATTTAGACATGTAGGTATAATTCAAGCATTTTCCAGCATTTGTAAAAAAATTTTGTTTTTGTTGCTGATGTTTATTATAACTTATTAAAGGATATATAAATGAGATAATGTATAATAGGAGTCAGATCAGAAGGGTTGCCTCACTACTTATTTACCCTTTAACAATTAAAGTTTGTATGTTTATATCAAACATAATGGGAACTATATAGAAGTCAGACAAAGCCTGGTCATAGTAATCCTTCAGAGGACATTACAGTCTCTCGCATAATATCCCAGTCCTTCACATGACATCCCTGTCCTTCACAGGACATCGGAAAACTTCAAGAATGTCTCTGTCCTTCAGATGACATTACAAACCTTCAAGAATGTCTTAGTCATTCACTGGACATCCCAGTCCTTCGCAGGACCTCCACTCTTTTCACAGGACATTCCAGTCATTTACAAGACCTCTCAATCCTTCATAGAACATCCCAGTCCTTAAGAGGACATCACAGTCCTTCAGCGGACCTCCAAATCCTTCATAGGACCTCCCAGTCCTTCACTGGACATTCCAATGCCTCACAGAACATACCAGACCTTCACAGGACATCCCATTCCTTCACAGGACATCCCAGTCCTTCAGTGGCATCCCAATCCTTCACTTGACATCCCAATCCTTCACAGGACATCCAGATTCTTCACAGGACATCTGAGTCCTTCGCAGGACATCCTGATCCTTCACAGGACATCCTAGTCCTTCACAGGACATCTCAGACTTTCACAGACCATCCTACATTTTAAATGCGTGTATTTATAAACATATTTTAGTTTATGGAAAAACATGACACATGACTTTCATTTTCTGCCAGAAACTCCTTTTGATAACAAGGATTTAACACATGATTACTTCAAGGACCTTCTTATTTGCCATTCTGTTCAAGTAAGTATCTATTACCATAACATATTCATGCTTCCTGTTCATGTATTTGTGGAATTACCATACAGTTTATAAATACATTACACCTCTTTATTTAAAAGGTAATTTATGTATCTAGGCACATGAATAACATGCGATGGAAAATGTATCACAGAGATAAAGAACAGAATAGGACAGGCTAAAACTGTATTTTAACAAATTAAGTAATGCATTATTTAACTCTTTGAGTCCCAGGGGGTTTAGCATCACAGACCCAAGGGGTAGTAAAGATAGTAATAAAATCAGAGTATGTATTCATTGGGCTTCTAGGTAGGAACCTATAAACGTATGATGCGTTCCTTGGGAGTCAAAGAGTTAACAGTGAGCTGCGATAACAGTTGTTTGGGATTAAAAGAGTTAATTGTATGTATACTTGTGTCCCCAGCGGCCACCTTACAGTTTAGCCCTCTTCTCGGCCACTAATGTGATGAGAATATCCCAGCATGCATTGAACACATTCTTCAGGCATTTCGACATGTACAAGTACACCTTCACTCCAGAGGTAAAATCTGTTGTGTCAAGGGAAGTGGGAGGAAGGGAAGGAAAGAGAAGATATAGTAGCTGATAGGGAAGTGGGAGGAAGGGAAGGAAAGAGAAGATATAGTAGCTGATAGGGAAGTGGGAGGAAGGGAAGGAAAGAGAAGATATAGTAGCTGATAGGGAAGTGGGAGGAAGGGAAGGAAAGAGAAGATATAGTAGCTGATAGGGAAGTGGGAGGAAGGGAAGGAAAGAGAAGATATAGTAGCTGATAGGGAAGTGGGAGGAAGGGAAGGAAAGAGAAGATATAGTAGCTGATAGGGAAGTGGGAGGAAGGGAAGGAAAGAGAAGATATAGTAGCTGATAGGGAAGTGGGAGGAAGGGAAGGAAAGAGAAGATATAGTAGCTGATAGGGAAGTGGGAGGAAGGGAAGGAAAGAGAAGATATAGTAGCTGATAGGGAAGTGGGAGGAAGGGAAGGAAAGAGAAGATATAGTAGCTGATAGGGAAGTGGGAGGAAGGGAAGGAAAGAGAAGATATAGTAGCTGATAGGGAAGTGGGAGGAAGGGAAGGAAAGAGAAGATATAGTAGCTGATAGGGAAGTGGGAGGAAGGGAAGGAAAGAGAAGATATAGTAGCTGATAGGGAAGTGGGAGGAAGGGAAGGAAAGAGAAGATATAGTAGCTGATAGGGAAGTGGGAGGAAGGGAAGGAAAGAGAAGATATAGTAGCTGATAGGGAAGGAGCATGCAGCGGGTAAAAAGGACAGATTTTGGCTGATAGGGAAGGAGAATTCAGCGGGTAAAAAGGACAGATTTTGGCTGATAGGGAAGGAGCATTCAGCGGGTAAAAAGGACAGATTTTGGCTGATAGGGAAGGGATATGCAGAGAAAGAGGAAATAGACTGTAGCTGAGACTAGACTCTAGCTGAGACAGAGAAGGAGTAAGGAGGACAGAGAGGAGATAGACTGTAGCTAAGACTAGACTGTAGCCGAGACAGAGAAGGAGTAAGGAGGACAGAGAGGAGGGAGACAGATATAAGCTGATAAAAGAGGAGTAAGCTAGTATGAGACAGTGGAGACAGGTAGCAGATAGTAGCCGATAGAGGAGGAATTATCAGAAGAGCAGATAGTAGATGAGGAGAGGATGGGCTAATAGAAAGAGGAAAAGCCACAGATGAAGCAGGTGAAAAAGAAGAAAGTGGAAAAAAAAAGAGGGAGTAAATACAGAAGGAGAAGAGAAGAGCAGGAAAAAAGAGGAACACATAGAGAAGGTGGGGAATTAGGAAGATAAGTACAGAGAAAATAAGAAGTAGGTGGTTTGGCGGAGTTGGTCAAGGGACAAGAAAATGAAGAAATATTGATGAAAAATAAACAAATTAGGAATTTAAATTAAAAAATGAGGAACAAGGAGAACAGGAGGAAAAGAAGAAGAAGAAGAAGGGAAAGAAGATAAAAATAAAGATAAAAACTAATGAAAGGAAAGCATAAACAACAGAGAAATAAAAGTAAAATCATTGCACACAGAAGGAAGCATATGGAAAAGATTCAGAGGTTAAAAATAAATAGAAATAAAGAAAGTTAAAAAGAAGATGAATCTGGAACATTGATAGCTGATGAATCATACAAGATAAAGTCAGCACAGAACCAACTCAAAATTACATACAAAGGCAGCAAATCAAATGGTTTGCCAACTTGTAGAGAATACCTTCTGATGTTTTACCATACAAGGTGTATACCAAAAGAGGAGAGGGATGTAGAGCAAGAGGTAGATGAATAACAAGATAGAAAGATAACATCAGAGAAATTCTACAGCACCTCAATGTGTTTATGGTCAAAGGCGCCAGAAGAGCATTATAACTGCCTGACACCCGAAGCGATAAAGAAGAAGAAAACTAATCGTTGACAATATGTATTGAATTATGACATTGAACAGAGAAACCGCAGTTAGTTTTGATATTTATCTTTCTTTGACACAGGTGTCTCTGGACCTAGCTTTGAAATATTCTGAAATGCCGCCTACGCCGCCCCCAGAAGCAGGTGACCACATTTCTAATTATTCTTTATTATCATTCACTTGCCATCTTTCCTATGTAAATTCTTCTTCTTTGATCTATTTCTGCAAGGATCGTTTGTCTCGCATGATTTCACATAAGTTAGTGTTGAATATATTCTGTTCCTGGGCTAAGTAGGCATGCTGGGAAATGTGGAAGCTGACGGGTTAGATCGGTGACTCCCAGCCTTTTTAAAGCTATGACCCTTTAATTCAGTTCCTTATGCTGTGGCGACCCCTAACCATACAATTATTTTCATTACTACTTTATAATTCCAATGAATATTCCAATGGTCTTAGGTGACCCCTGTGAAAAAGTCATTTGACCAGAAATAGGGTCATGACCCACAGGCTGACAACTGCTGGGTTAGATAGACTGGCCTCACTGCAAGTACACAAGGCAGAGGTGACCTCTTGCAAGCAAGATGAGTTCAGAAGTAAAATAGAAAATACAGACAAAAAAACCATACCTAACAGAATAGTGCAGTGAGGAATGTCTACCGGCTCTGGGCGCCACCCAAGATTCAGAGGAAAAGCAAGACGAGTAGTTAAACAGATGACAGTGGATACCGTCAGGATGGAAACTCTTCACTGTCTGCTTAGAAAGGAGTGCTGTGATGTCAAATCTTTACCCAGATGAACCCAGATTAAGAAGGCTTATGAGAATTGATTTCATATACACATTTTTAGAATTTTAGTTTGCTGAGAATCTAACCTTTTGGAAAAGGGCATGAGAGTCACACCATGGAAGAGTTCAGGACAATAATCCCAAATAAAGCAGTGGAGGCACAGCACTCAACCTGTTTTGAAGAAAGGCCATTAAAACACACAATTATCAGAATGTATATGTGTGTCTTATCATTTTTGATCATGTTATGAGAAGAGGGAAACTACAACATATTGTGAAAGCAGCTTTGTTTCTGATAAACAAAGTACTGCAATAACACCTATTCTATTTATACATTTTATGTTTATTACTGACATGTTTGAGAAAGTCTTTTCAGACAGTCATGAAGTAGGGGAGGGGGAAAACGGACAATCTGATCTTTATAACTCAGAGATGAATAGTCTCTTTCCGGTGATATCCAAAACTCTGACAATGAATAGTCTCTTTCCAGTGATATCCAAAACTCAGATAATGAATAGTCTCTTTCCATTGATATCCAAAACTTAGACAATTAACAGTCTCTTTCCAGTGATTTCCAAAACTCAGACAATGAATAGTCTCTTTCCAGCGATATCCAAAACTCAGACAATGAATAGTCTCTTTCCAGTGATATCCATAACTCAGACAATTAATAGTCTCTTTCCAGTGATATCCATAACTCAGACAATGAATAGTCTCTTTCCAGTGATATCCAAAACTCAGTCAATGAAAAGTCTCTTTCCAGTGATATCCAAAACTCAGACAATTAATAGTCTCTTTCTAGTGATTCCAAAACTCAGACAATGAATAGTCTCTTTCCAGTGATATCCAAAACTCAGACAATGAATAGTCTCTTTCCAGTGATATCCAAAACTCAGACAATTAATAGTCTCTTTCCAGTGATATCCAAAACTCAGACAATGAATAGTCTCTTTCCAGTGATATCTAAAACTCAGACAATGAATAGTCTCTTTCCAGTGATATCCAAAACTCAGACAATGAACAATCTCTTTCCAGTGATATCCAAAACTCAGACAATGAATAGATAGATGTCTTTCCAGTGATATCCAAAACTCAGACAATCAATAGATAGATGTCTTTCCAGTGATATCCAAAACTCAGACAATGAATAGATAGATGTCTTTCCAGTGATATCCAAAACTCAGACAATGAAGTCTCTTTCCAGTGATACCTGAAACTCAGACAATGATTGCATCGTATGATTGGACACAAGAGTGAAATCAGAAGAAAACTTGATCTGCTTTTCTTTTTTCATGATTAGCAAGTTCTTGTAAGAACGGATTAATAATCCAAAAACTGTGTTTACATGTATCTTTATTTTCACAAACATAATTTTCAAAGTTTTCTATTTTGTGAAGTTGAATGAAGTTTCCAGAATTTGTGCATGTTGTTTTGTTTTTTTAATCAAAGATGTTGATCCAATAGACTGACACTACCCTGTTATAGGATTAAGCAGATTTTAGGTGGCCCACCTGGACTATTCTGCCACCCACCAGTGGTCATCTGACTGATATTTTTTAGAAAAGAAGATGAGGACAGGCCTAAAAAAGGGGGGAGCAATTACACTTGTTGTTTCAAGGTGAAATATTTACTTTGTTTCAATACTTATTGTTTCAAATTTTGTGTGCAGCAGCAGCAGCAGATGAAGATGATGAAGGTGATGAAGTCAATGATGATCTCTCCAATACTAAAATCGGTAAGTGTCATAGCATCTCAGGCAGACGTCCACTTACTTATCGTCATGTCTTTTGTTGTTGTTGCATGTCTGTTACATTTGTTATTAAAATCTATTATTATATGTGCACATAGGGCTGACAGTCTTGTTCTCCATTCTACTGTGCAATCACTTAGATATCATGGGTGGAATTCAGTTTCGGCACCTTTTGCTTCTCTAATCAATATTCACCTTAGTGTTTCTTGTGGATATCCTCGCTTCCTCAATCCATCTGCTTCCCATCTCAGTGCCTGTTTGGTAATCCTCTCTTTGTCTCTTCTCAGAATGAATCTTCTTTTTCTTTTTTCCTTCGCTGTAAACTCCGGTGGAAAGTTCTGGGTGTTAGTACACCAACGGACTTTCGTCTTGGTCCTGAATCTAAGTGTTGCGTGCACATCTGTTTCACATGCATGCATGCAGGCTTGTAGTTCCTTGCCTCTCAGGCAGATGTACTCCGTCTTCGAAAAGAATGTCCCCAATTAGTTTATTTCTGTGACATGCCTGTTGGGAAGGCAGTGGCTCTATTCATGTTTTTGCCAACATGGGACCCCAGAACCCTCACAGGGAAGAACCAATCTAATTTCGCACAATCTTCTCTCTCTTATAACTGTTGATACTAGTGGTTGCCCAGACAACTTCTCTGTCTTATAACTGTTGATACTAGTGGTTGCCCAGACAACTTCTCTGTCTTATAACTGTTGATACTAGTGGTTGCCCAGACAACTTCTCTGTCTTATAACTGTTGATACTAGTGGTTGCCCAGACAACTTCTCTCTCTTATAACTGTTGATACTAGTGGTTGCCAAGACAACTTCTCTGTCTTATAACTGTTGATACTAGTGGTTGCCCAGACAACTTCTCTGTCTTATAACTGTTGATACTAGTGGTTGCCCAGACAACTTCTCTGTTTTATAACTGTTGATACTAGTGGTTGCCCAGACAACTTCTCTGTCTTATAACTGTTGATACTAGTGGTTGCCCAGACAACTTCTCTGTCTTATAACTGTTGATACTAGTGGTTGCCCAGACAACTTCTCTGTTTTATAACTGTTGATACTAGTGGTTGCCCAGACAACTTCTCTGTCTTATAACTGTTGATACTAGTGGTTGCCCAGACAACTTCTCTGTTTTATAACTGTTGATACTAGTGGTTGCCCAGACATCTCTGTCTTATAACTGTTGATACTAGTGGTTGCCCAGACAACTTCTCTCTCTTATAACTGTTGATACTAGTGGTTGCCCAGACAACTTCTCTGTCTTATAACTGTTGATACTAGTGGTTGCCCAGACAACTTCTCTGTCTTATAACTGTTGATACTAGTGGTTGCCCAGACAACTTCTCTGTCTTATAACTGTTGATACTAGTGGTTGCCCAGACAACTTCTCTGTCTTATAACTGTTGATACTAGTGGTTGCCCAGACATCTTCTCTCTCTTATAACTGTTGATACTAGTGGTTGCCCAGACAACTTCTCTGTCTTATAACTGTTGATACTAGTGGTTGCCCAGACAACTTCTCTGTCTTATAACTGTTGATACTAGTGGTTGCCCAGACAACTTCTCTGTTTTATAACTGTTGATACTAGTGGTTGCCCAGACATCTTCTCTGTCTTATAACAGTTGATACTAGTGGTTGTCCAGACATCTTCTCTGTCTTATAACGATACTAGTGATTGCCCAGCTACCTTCTCTGTCTTATAACTGTTGATACTAGTGGTTGCCCAGACAACTTCTCTGTCTTATAACTGTTGATACTAGTGGTTGTCCAGCTACCCTCTCTGTCTTATAACTGTTGATACTAGTGGTTGCCCAGCTACCTTCTCTGTCTTATAACTGTTGATACTAGTGGTTGTCCAGACAACTTCTCTGTCTTATAACTGTGATATAAGTGGTTGCCCAGACATCTTCTCTATCTTATAACTGTTGATACTAGTGGTTGCCCAGACAACTTCTCTGTCTTATAACTGTTGATACTAGTGGTTGCCCAGACATCTTCTCTGTCTTATAACTGTTGATACTAGTGGTTGCCCAGACAACTTCCCTGTCTTATAACTTTTGATACTAGTGGTTGCCCAGACCTCTTCTCTCTCTTATAACTGTTGATACTAGTGGTTGCCCAGACATTTCTTTTATTGCTTCACTCCTGTTGAATTCGTCCCATTTTATGTTATCATTTTTTTCACGCATTTTTTTACAAATGCATTTATATCTATATCTTTTATCAGCTGAGAGAAATAAATCACAGGCTGATGTGCCTTTATTTGCCATCTATCCATCCATATTTATGTTACATGATGTTTGCTGTTGATCTGATTTTAGTGAGAAATCATCAGTATCAGGGATGCCATGCTCCCTTGAAATATTTATGAAGAATAATTGTTTACTTTTACAACAAAAAAAACTGAGATATTAACTATTTCAGAACTTTTCATAGCAGTTGCTTAAGGAGAGAAATATCCACTAAGTGATCAACAACAACCAAATGTCAAAGAGGCAACTGGGAATGCCAGATATTTTTAGTATTCTATGGTCAAATGCAAAAAATATCAGAACATGTTGGCAATGTTTGGGATTCATGAGAATGAGTTTATCAGGCATGTTGCATTGCTTGGGACAAAAAGAGGGATGAGGTGAGAATGAGTTTATCAGGCATGTTGCACTTCTTGGGACAAAAAAAGAGGGATGAGGTGAGAATGAGTTTATCAGGCATGTTGCACTTCTTGAGACAAAAAAAGAGGGATGAGGTGAGAATGAGTTTATCAGGCATGTTGCACTGCTTGGAACAAAAAGAGGGATTCATGAGAATGAGTTTATCAGGCATGTTGCACTGCTTGGGACAAAAAAGAGGGATGAGGTGAGAATGAGTTTATCAGGCATGTTGCACTGCTTGGGACAAAAACGAGGGATGAGGTGAGAATGCATTCAGGAGTATTTATTTACCAAGCTTGAACAAAGAGATCAGAGAGGATCATTGAGAGGTTTGACTTCATTGCACTGGATTTGATCTCAGTCTGCCATCACAAAATAGGTAGCCATCTGCTGAGAGCGTTGCACAAAGTATGTAAGGTAATTAGCTAGATAGTCAACTACGTATTATCATTGCACGTCGCACCATTCAGTCCACAAGTGCACATATTCCTCCCCCTTCCTCACCACAGTCTGTAGTCACTGGTGACACCAGTTCTGTATTGGTTTCTTATTCATCTTTCGCTTCTGGCCTAGTGCTCTTGTCTGGCCACACCCTTTTTAACATATTGTTCTTGCAGTCTGGTCATTTTTGCAGATTCAGTCATCACTTGGTTCTCACAAACTTCTTACTTCACATAGATCAGGGCCGTTCAGCTCAGTTTGCACGGGTAAATATGTTCAATATGTTGGATCATCTCATGACAGTGGCCTGAGCCCCAACCTTGAATACAGTACAACTGGCAACGATCCCTGGGGCACTTGTAGGCATCTCCTGGCTGCCAGCTGAATTCCCCGGTTGTAGAGCATTCATTATATCAGTCTGGGCCAGTGCAAAAGCAAATATAGTTACGGGACAGTTAACACTGCTTCTGGCGCATAAAAAGATACCTCATAAGGAAATCTCATAAGGACGGTTTTTTGGCCAATATCATGCTACCAGTGCCAATCATGGACCCTTACTACAATTAATGAGCGGTATATCATAACAACAAGGATGAGATTCTTAGGAGAGCTGCCAGTGTGAGAAGAAGAGGTAACATCAGGAATGAAGAAATTAGAAGACTGAAACAAGTGGTACAATTCATTAGGTTCAAGGTTTGAGGTTTGAACAACAGATCAACATCATGGCACATGGGTAGTAACCCATAAGTGCTTGGTTTTCCTTCTAATTCAAGTCTGTGATCAAAGAAGCTCAGCACAGTGCACAAGCTCTGTAGCACCAGCGAAGATCCTGAAATACTTTGAGTTGATTTTTAACTCCAAGTTTTGCCTGGGCAGCGCCGTTAGGCTGCTCTTTTTGATTTCCAACTGCCAAGGTGTTTTGTTATGTGAGCAACAATGTACACGGGTGTCTGATCTCACTACTTAAAGTCCAAGTCCAGTCCTTACTGGGGGTTGAACCTGGCACCTCTAGCACTTGATGTGGACACTATGCCTCAAGACCACACAGTCCCCGACAATTCATTAAAGAACAACAAATGAGATGGTCTGGCCACCTGACGAGAATGCCCTGGTACCAACTGCCACAGAGAGCCACGCTGAAGAAGTATAATGAACACAGAGCAAGGGGAAGACCACGCAAGTGATGGTGTGACATCATCGTGAGCAACCTCACAGAAATGAACATTAACTTGTACAATGCATTGGAGAAAGCACACAAACGATCCTTACATCTCACCCCAACACCTCGTTGAGGTAAATAGTGGAAGAGAAAAAGAAGAAGAAAAAGGTCCATGGCTCGTTCACCCTTTACAATATCCTCACTTGCAAGCCTATCAGCCTGCTCATTCATCTGCACGGCTGCATGCCCTAACACAAACATCAAGTTGATCTATAAACATATTAACTGCATATCTCAGCGGACAAACCCTGGGATATCCATACAAATTGCAAAAATGAACAAGATCTACGTTTTTATACAAGTAGGTTTTAAATGAAGAGCTCCACATGTGGCTTCTGTGGCCCTGTTGTGGGGAAAACAAGAATAAACTTGCTGCTTCCCCAAAACAGCATGGCATAAGAGTCAACTAAAAGGGGAGGGGGCTTCCTTCAAAGTCTGAGTGCATCCGCCTGAGAGGCAAGGAGCTAACAGTTTGCATACAGATAAGTCAGATCTGTAAAATGGATGTGCATGCAACTCTAAGATTCTGGAACAAGACTAAAGTCCAGAAGTGGGCGAACAACCAGAAGTTTATTCCAGAGTTACAGCTGGTGAAACTCGAAGAAGCAGGTGAAGAAATGAAAAGCCTTAAAAGTGCCATAGAACTTACTGTAATCATGCCACTGTCTTGGAACCTGTCAGTATTTTGTTAAGGATGTTAGGAGTATTAAGCACATGACATCAAAGTGCATATGAACACAGTGGCTTGATAATGACAGTTGACAGATGGCAGCCCCACTTTTGACATGCACCAGAGAGGTGCAGCATTGTGTTGTCTATTGTTTGATCACAGTTCTTTAGCCATGTGATGAGAAAAGAAGCACTGGAAAATATTGTGAATACTGGAAAGATCACTGGTAGAAGAGGCAGAGGCAGACCAAGAGAATGATGGTGGATGGCTTTAGACAGTGGCATGGAGGAATACCATTGGCGGAATTGATCTAGAACACCAAAGACCGAGATCTGCGGAGATGCATGAACGCCTATGCCCGCTGGCGAGGCACTTGAAAGTGATGATTGATTGATCAGTGAAGGGGGGAAACCTGAGTTAATTCATCGGTAAACAAAAGTCCAGTAAGGTGATGCATGCCTGTCAGCCCAGCAAGTGTGTGCATGGAGTAGGAGGCTTTCAACAGCTGCAGTTGTTTCTAGGATGAGTACTCAAAGCACCGAACCTGGTCCTGAACAGGTTGTCATAGAAGTCACACTATTTTGAAAATTAACAACAGAACACTGCTCCTTTTTTGTGTGTTCAGGCCAAAAGTGCGGTGTCCATCTTTAAACTATCATTATAATGTCATCTGCTTAACACTCTTAGCATCCTTAACAATATTCACAGGCTACAAGACAGTGGCATGCTTATTTTAACTTCTGTCTTCTTTTTAAGGTTTTCATTTGAAGCCTTGTTTATCCCTGGCCTCAGTGGTTCTCCTGGTGTTTATTTCTTGGTAGGTAGGTCAATGAATGAATCAAGAATTGACATCCCTGCATTCGCGAAATTCCAGATAGGCACTGTCCCCTTTTTTAATAGCCAACAAAGAGTTGACATGTTAATGGTACTGGTTGCAACATAAATAAAAGTCCGCCTTTGTTTCCCACTAAGTGTTAAACCACCATTCCCCCCCCCCCCCCCCCCCCCCCCCCCCCCTTCCCCAACCCAAAGCCCTTTTGAATTAGTGTCTCAATGTATGGATTCTCTGCCTGTTCTGTTGCACTGTCCGTTTAATCCCAGAGAGTCTTCACCATATACACTTATCACAAAGTAGCTCACTGCCTAGAGAAATGTAGCAGCCAGACTGTGTACACAGAATCTGCAAGTTTATACCCACATGTGTTTTCTACTCTCCAGCCTCTGAATATCTGGAGATTTTACAGAGTGAGTTCACGGCCAAGGAGGTCAGTGAGTTCCTGCAAAGTGAGACCAAGGAGATTCAAGAGAAAATTAGCGACCGCATGAACAGAGCTGCACAAGCCATGTACTCACAGATTCATGAGATAATGACAGCAAAGACTTTGATTGATGGAAGGAGGAGTGGAAAGTTGGATGCATGAAATAATGGAAAAGCTGATGGTTGCATCTGTTCTTCTTCTTCTTCTTTCCTCTACTCCTGGAATGTTTGGCAGCTTCAGGGCAGGAAGAGATCTCTGGGACGGGCTCTTCTGTTTGCTTCATATAAAGTACTTTTCAGTGTTTCTGATATTTCTGCGGTCCATCTTCTCTTACCTCTGGCTCTGTTACCGCTGTATCTGTTTAACATTGTACTCTGTGGTGCCCTGTGCTCTCTGTGGTGCCCTGTGATGCTCTCTGTAGTGCCCTATGCTCTCTGTAGTGCCCTTTGCTCTCTGTGGTAGCCTATGCTCTCTGTGGTGCCCTTGCTCTCTGTGGTGCCCTGTGCTCTCTGTAGTGCCCTGTGCTCTCTGTAGTGCCCTGTGCTCTCTGTGGTTCCCTGTGCTCTCTGTGGTGCCCTGTGCTCTCTGTGGTGCCATGTGCTCTCTGTGGTGCCCTGTGCTCTCTGTGGTGCCCTAGGCTCTCTGTGGTGCCCTATGCTCTCTGTAGTGCCCTATGCTCTCTGTGGTGCCCTATGCTTTCTGTGATGCCCTATGCTCTCTGTGGTACCCTATGCTCTCTGTGGTACCTTATGCTCTCTGTGGTGCCCTATGCTCTCTTTAGTGCCATATGCTCTTTGTAGTGCCCTTTTCTCTCTGTGGTGTCATGTGCTCTCTGTAGTGCCCTATGCTCTCTGTAGTGCACTTGCTCTCTGTAGTGCCCTTGCTCTCTGTGGTGCCCTTGCTCTCTGTAGTGCCCTTGCTCTCTTTGGTGCCCTATGCTCTCTATAGTTCCCTTGCTCTCTGTGGTGCCCTGTGCTCTCTTTGGTTTTCTGTGCTCACTGTGGTACCCCGTGCTCTCTGTAGTGCCCTTGCTCTCTGTGGTGAACTATGCTCTCTGTAGTGCCCTGTGCTATCTTTGGTACCCTGTGCTCTATGTGGTACCCTGTGCTCTCTGTGGTGCCCTGTGCTCTCTGTAGTGCCCTGTGCTCTCTGTGGTTCCCTGTGCTCTCTGTGGTGCCCTGTGCTCTCTGTGGTGCCCTGTGCTCTCTGTGGTGCTCTGTGCTATCTTTGGTACCCTGTGCTCTATGTGGTACCCTGTGCTCTCTGTGGTGCCCTGTGTTCTCTGTAGTGCCCTGTGCTCTCTGTGGTTCCCTGTGCTCTCTGTGGTTCCCTGTGCTCTCTGTGGTGCCCTGTGCTCTCTGTGGTGCCCTGTGCTCTCTGTGATGCCCTAGGCTCTCTGTGGTTCCCTGTGCTCTCTGTGGTTCCCTGTGCTCTCTGTGGTGCCCTGTGCTCTCTGTAGTGCCCTATGCTCTCTGTGGTGCCCTATGCTTTCTGTGATGCCCTATGCTCTCTGTGGTACCCTATGCTCTCTGTGGTACCTTATGCTCTCTGTGGTGCCCTATGCTCTCTTTAGTGCCATATGCTCTTTGTAGTGCCCTTTTTCTCTCTGTGGTGTCATGTGCTCTCTGTAGTGCCCTATGCTCTCTGTAGTGCACTTGCTCTCTGTAGTGCCCTTGCTCTCTGTGGTGCCCTTGCTCTCTGTAGTGCCCTTGCTCTTTTTGGTGCCCTATGCTCTCTATAGTGCCCTTGCTCTCTGTGGTGCCCTGTGCTCTCTTTGGTTTTCTGTGCTCACTGTGGTACCCCGTGCTCTCTGTAGTGCCCTTGCTCTCTGTGGTGAACTATGCTCTCTGTAGTGCCCTGTGCTATCTTTGGTACCCTGTGCTCTATGTGGTACCCTGTGCTCTCTGTGGTACCCTGTGCTCTCTGTAGTGCCCTGTGCTCTCTGTGGTTCCCTGTGCTCTCTGTGGTGCCCTGTGCTCTCTGTGGTGCCCTGTGCTCTCTGTGGTGCCCTGTGCTATCTTTGGTACCCTGTGCTCTATGTGGTACCCTGTGCTCTCTGTGGTGCCCTGTGTTCTCTGCAGTGCCCTGTGCACTCTGTGGTTCCCTGTGCTCTCTGTGGTTCCCTGTGCTCTCTGTAGTGCCCTGTGCTCTCTGTGGTGCCCTGTGCTCTCTGTGATGCCCTAGGCTCTCTGTGGTTCCCTGTGCTCTCTGTGGTGCCCTGTGCTCTCTGTGGTGCCCTGTGCTCTCTGTGATGCCCTAGGCTCTCTGTGGTGCCCTATGCCCTCTGAAGTGCCCTATGCTCTCTGTGGTGCCCTATGCTCTCTGTGGTACCTTATGCTCTCTGTGGTGCCCTATGCTCTCTTTAGTGCCATATGCTCTTTGTAGTGCCCTGTGCTCTCTGTGGTGCCCTGTGCTCTCTGTGGTGCCCTATGCTCTCTGTGGTGCCCTTGCTCTCTGTAGTGCCCTTGCTCTCTTTGTTGCCCTATGCTCTTTATAGTGCCCTTGCTCTCTGTGGTGCCCTGTGCTCTCTTTGGTTTTCTGTGCTCTCTGTGGTACTCCGTGCTCTCTGTAGTGCCCTTGCTCTCTGTGGTGCCCTATGCTCTCTGTGGTGCCCTGTGGTGCCCTGTGCTATCTTTGGTACCCTGTGCTCTATGTGGTACCCTGTGCTCTCAGTGGTGCCCTGTGCGCTCTGTGGTGCCCTGTGCTCTCTGTGGTGCCCTGTGCTCTCTGTGGTGCCCTGTGCTCTCTTTGGTACCCTGTGCTCTCTGTGGTACCCTGTGCTCTCTGTGGTACCCTGTGCTCTCTGTGGTGCCCTGGGCTCTTTGTGGTGCCATGTGCTCTCTGTGGTGCCCTATGCTCTCTGTGGTACCCTGTGCTCTCTGTGGTGCCCTGTGCTCTCTGTGGTGCCCTGTGCTCTCTGTAGTGCCCTATGCAGTCTGTGGTGCCCTGTGATCTCTGTTGTGCTCTGTGCTCTCTGTGGTACCCTGTGCTCTTTGTGGTGCCTTGAATTCTCTTTGGTACCCTGTGCTCTTTGTGGTGCTCTGATGCCCCCGTCTGATAGTTGCATTACTAATATATTAAGTGGATGTTTCAGATAATTTAATGAGAGGAAGAGTAAAAAAACGGGATGCATGCTATAATTGAGTGGACTGAGTGATTGTGAAACTGCACTTCTTGGTGGTGCCACCATTGGGTTGAGGGTCTAGGCAGAGGTCCAAAAAAACCCTGTTCAGCGCATAGGTTGGGTTATATTAGCAACCCCGTCAACAGCCAGGGTGGGTCTTTAAACAAAACCACAAAGAAAAAAAAACACAATTGCTTCTGACTTTAGGACGCAGATTTAAATAAAATGAGTATTATATAGATCTTCCTAGCAATGATTTAAAAAAGATGGAGAGTGTCAATTTAGGTGTTTGATATAACAGAGAATGTTATTTCTACCTGCACTCCAGATGTTCTTTGGAAAGACCGCTGGATGGAGGAAAGAGAAATTGGATGTGATAGAATTGTTGGTTGTAGCATGTACTAAAATACTGAATGAAAGAATGTTGAATATAAAATCGACATCACCTGAGACATTCCCATACACGCTTCATGCCAATTTGCAGCAGCAAACATAGATTTCGAGTTCAGTGGCACTAGTAACAGTCTGTGTATCCTTTTTGCCTTTTCTCTGAGTAAAACTGGTTTGACATCACTTGGTTCAGCAAAGCCTGGCGTATGATACAACAGCATCTAGTCTGAGAATGGAGGTGGAGGCACTTATTGCAACCTTCCGCTGGCTTGATAGATCCATGTTGTAATTAATGTTGCAATTGTAACTGACTCACAGAACACGTTAGGAAAAGTTAAGACAGGTATACTCCATGCAGAGTTGCAAGCATCACTTAAGATGTCCCAGGTAGTTAGTGTCCATTAGATATTTTCTGCAGGTCATGTCGGTGTGTTGGGAAATGAACAGGCAGACAGACTGAATAAATGTTTATGGCAACAATTTAATGACAGGAAGAATTGTATGCATGATATAACAGTGAAGTTAGTGATTGCACCTACCGCAATATTAGGTAGATGTTTTTGGACACGTCTTTAATGAAAGAAAGAGTGAGAAGTTGGATGTCTAGTTTTATAGATAAACTAGATATGACATGCTCAAGAATATTAGGACCACGTAACGAACTTGGTGCCCAGCTACACACTTATGAGTGAGGAAGTCTGGCCAGTACCCTGTGATTGGACGTTCAGTCCTGCTTCTTCCTTTGAAATGTGCAAGTTTAAGTGGCAGAGATGTCAGGTTGGTGCGATGTTGAATTGTGTCAACGGTCTTACCGGCAACCACACATGCTCTATATTACAGAAAGTTAGCGGGGCTAACTCCAACTCCCTACCCCACACGCTAAACCTAGATCCCACGAGAGAGTGCATTCTAGTCATGTGGCTCCAGACTTCTTAACATGTTGCTGTGGCCCGCAAAACGCCGTGTTGCTTTAGTTCTCCTCGAACCCGCCAACGCTGACAGCTGGAATAAAATAATTTCCCACTGACAATTCTAGACGGCTGTCATACACCCACCAATAAACACTAATTCTGCTTACGCATGAGAACTCAATATGGGCAGCCGCTGCTCACAGAAGAACATTTAACACGCAACGCAGACAGCTATGTGAGGACAGCAGTACAACGGGACACCCCTTTAACGTAGACCAGCCTGACAATTCATCAATGACAGATCAACTAGTATGTAGCCGGGCTCGAGTTAGTTACTAGTAATAAAAATTAAATATTGCTATCCCAATTATTATTTCATATTTGACTATTTATTGTGTGTGGGGCTGTTACATTCTTTGTGTGTGATGGTTTTTTCTTTGTGTTTGACCGTTTATTCTGTGTTGTGACCGTTTATTCTGTTTTGTGACCGTTTATTCTGTGTTGTGACCGTTTATTCTGTGTTGTGACCGTTTATTCTGTGTTGTGACCGTTTATTCTGTGTTGTGACCGTTTATTATGTGTTGTGACCGTTTATTCTGTGTTGTGACCGTTTATTCTGTGTTGTGACCGTTTATTCTGTGTTGTGACCGTTTATTCTGTGATGTGACCGTTTATTCTGTGTTGTGACCGTTTATTCTGTGTTGTGACAGTTTATTCTGTGTTGTGACCGTTTATTC